AGCGCAACATGAGGAACTGTATTAACAGGTCGCAGTGTCAGGAAGGTTGAGAACTGCTGTTCTAGGGTGAACAGGAGAAACTGCACGACTGACCTCATTCTCAAACATGTTGTCACACAGCAATGGTTTTTAGGATTATTTGTCATTTGGAGTTATAGGATTGATGCTTTCTCCTTTTTAGGCTTCAGGTTGACAAGGGGGTGGTTACTGAGTTTTTGTTTAAAAGTTAAATCTCTTCGATCTTTCTCCAGACTCCTGCACTTAGGTTGAACTGGTGGTGAGGTTTCTTTAGCATTCAAAGTCAGGAAATTGCCTTGAGAGTTCCCACAATCAAGTCGCCTGTGCCTTTGTGAAGGCCATTGCCTTGGGCTCATTCTGGCTTTCTGGCGCTGTCCCTAGCAAGTCCCAGAGGTAATGGTATACAAATGCTATATTGGTCACTGTGAAGTTATAGGAAAAGGTGAAGCCTACATATCAAGTACTATAGAATTCCATTTATTTAAGTACTTCCTGGAGGAGGAGTCTAGAGGGGAGGCAGTTCCTTCCCACTTGATTGTGTTCTTGGCTAAATAATAGTGTAATGTGGCCACTGTTGTGTGAGAAATGACGGTGGGTTCTATTGTGAGAGAGAGCTGGGAGAACTACTTTTTTTCTCAGCTTGGAAACCTCATACTTCATCCTGAATTTCCTGACTCCGGGAGGGGGGAAGGTGTTGGACCCTGCTGGGACTATGGGTCTATGGGTCTATCAGTATGCCCTCACTAGTCAGCCTTGTATTTCAATGTCTTTGGGCCCTGTGGTCCAAATAGAGCCTCCACTCCTGTGAAAAGTCCGAATGGGAAGTTCAGAGAGTGAGTGAGAATTTGGAGGGTTACCAGCAGGGACTGGGGCCTCTGACATAGTTGGGATTTGGGGGCAGGCAGGAAAGAGAATGGTAAGGGTCTATAGGGAGCTGCTCAGAACCTGCCTACAGTGGTCTTAGATGGTGTTAATGAGTTAGGGGGTCTATGAGTGAGAAGGGAGGCAGTTTAGCTGGTGTGTGCCAATGCCAGGAGCTGATCCTCTGGTGGGAAGAAGGAAAATGTGCCTGTCACCTTGAATTGGACAATAACTGACCAGACTTGAACCCTTTCATCTAGCATTTAGCAGACAGGAGTCTGGTGTCTAAGGCTGATATCTACAAACTGGACAGAGCTCAGGGCTGCTGTAGCTGCCCCAGACTCCTTAGAGGGACCTTATCTCCATCACCAGTGTCCACAGTAATCAGAGTTGGCTGCTCAAATGACCCTTGAAACCCAACATCCCCTAGGTATTTGAGGATCAGCTTGATTCTGGGCTATGGCAGATAAGAGTGTCTCTCTACAGACAAGCATATATTGACATGGCCTCTCGGCCTCTTCTTGAGCTCAGTTCTCTGGAGATTACCAAAAGGTCAAATAACTGTAACTTATTGACACTGCATGCCAAAAATTTAGCATGTGCTCATCGTGTTTAGTTCTCTAAATGTACTATTAGACCACTTTTATTGACAGACCACTATTCCCATTTTATAGGAAAGCAGTGTGTATGTAACTTACCTGAAGTCATGTAACTAGTGAGTGGTGATAGCAGACCTTGAAATCTTTTTAACACCAACGTCTTTGTGCTCACTGTATTTACTAGAGGTGAGGGGAAGATGGACCTAGAAGGAAATGAAATGGATGTGGCAGGGTGGTACAAAATAGGGATGGATGTGCAGATGCAGTATCCATTGGTAAGTACATACATTAGTGTGAGGCTAATACTGTTATCTCCACTTCCGAGTTTGGTTTTGTTTTTATTTTCTTTTGAGATGGGGTCTCACTATGTAGCTCTGATTGTCCTGGAGCTCACCATGTAGACCTGGCTGATCTATAACTACCTGCCTTTGCTTCCTGAGTGCTGAAATTAAAGGCATGTGCCCACACCAGGCCCTGTCTCCCAAATTTCTTGGTACAATGGGGAAATTGAGGGTTAAGGAAGTCATGTGGCTTGTTTAAAGTAACCCAGCTAGTGAGAGGCATCTAACACTTGAATTTAGTTAGCTTGGCTCAAGTTCCTAAAGGTTAGGCCTCGCCTTTTCTAGAAGATATCCCAGTTGCTGTCTTCTGGCTCTAGCTTGGTTCATGAGCAAAGATATTCCCTCTTGAACTAGTCTGTCCCCATTGTTACAGTCTCTTAGGCCTCCAAGAATAGGCTGGGGTGAGAGTAGAGTCTCTTCCTTGAGATATTAGCCTTTTGGAGCCCAGACTTCAGTTTGCTGAGCTCAGGGTAATACTGTTGCTTTTCTTCCTGACATAGCAAACTTTTACAAGAAAGCTACACATTATATAATTTTTAAAATTTAAGAGTAAAGACAATCATAAAGATTTCCTCCAGGTTATTAAACAGTCTGCTAAAACATGGAGCTACTAGTAGTGGCACAGTTTTGTATGAGCACACTGTAGTGTAATTGGCCATTTGTGTTGTTTCTAATTTCTTACAGACACAATTGTGAATATTCTATCAATAGATCCTTGTAAACATTTTTATCAATATATCCTGTAGACAGGAGTGACTCCTTATGTAGGACAAACCGTGGCAGAGGAAAGGCTATGTCAAAGGGTCAGATTTCTTCTGAAGTGCCCACAGCTATTGCTTGTGGGAGGGGGGAAAATGTAAGATAAGGCTTAAGGACATGGCCTCAGGGCATGGGGAGAGCTGGCTCAACAGTTGAAAAACACTTGGTTGCTTTTGCAGAGGACCTGGATTCGGTTCTCAATACCAATCTGATGATTCACAACCATCTGTAACTCTAGTTCCAGAGGATCTGACACCCTTTTCTGACCTCCCTGGGCACCAGGCACATATAGGATGCATATTTATGTATTTATATATGCAGGTAAAACACTACTATAATAAGTATAATTTAAAAAAGAATATGGGCTTGGGTGTGATACAGACATCTTGCTCCGTGACTTTCTATTTACCCTCTTAGACCTCTCAGCTTGTTTCTTCTATAAATTGAATGTTGATCATGATCAGAATGATGATACTGATCTCAATACACAAAATGCTCAGTAATGGTAGCAACTAATCAGCCGTGCTCAGGGCACTTATTTCTTGGGTGGAGATAATGCGCATAGCTTTCTGATACCCAGAGTCACTAGGAGCAGAATGATAGAACAGCCTGGAAGCCCCCATATTTACTCTAGTAGCATATCTCATTCTAATTGGCCCTCCCTAGTTCAGCCAATGCTGCACAAAGGAAGCCCAGGGTCACCATGCCATTTCCCAGGAGATCATGACATTTTAGTGTACAGGAGGAGGCCCAGGAGGAAGGCTTCCGCAGAAAAGCCCTGCGAATCCCAGTTGTTCTACTTTTGTACCCTTTCAACCCTTTCAAGCTCCCCAGTGTAGAGTTTTAAAAGGCTCTTGTTGAAGGGATTATAAGATGAGGGAAGTAGCTCTTCCTTGGCCAGCTCTCAGACCCCAGCAAGGCCTGTGGATATGGGCATCTGAGCCCTGTTCTCAGTAGGGATGTTTGGAAGGATGGAACCAGCTGGAGCTTTAGATGGAGGGTTAGGTTAGCAGAGTTAAGGATTCTTGCATCCCCAGGAATGGGGAAGATGGCCCTGAAATGACAATGAATGACTATTTTGCTGAGATCAGCTTTAAAGACCTTTCTGTCCCTCCCCCAACCCTCTCTCCATAGGAAAGAAAACGGGAGACTGTAATTAAGTTTTATTTCTATTTATTGCTACTTCTTTCCCTAATATCCCCTATTTACAATAATTCAACTGCTTCACCAAAACTAGATTTTATGAAAATTTCTGGTAGTTGATCAGAAGCATGCCCACTTACTAAGCAGGTAATCCTACCTGTGATGGGCACAGATGATCCTGTATCAGGAAGGGCTGCTCTTGTTACTGAAATCAAGGGGGTAGCCCTTTAATAGATGCAGTGATCTCCCCACCACCCTTTGGAGCTATGGTACTAAAACCTTTAGCAGAGCAATGTTGGGTATAGTGGAGCCTCCAGTGTCAAGCAAAAGGCTTTTGCTTGTAAAGATCCACAGAAATGACCATATCTGGGCCCATACCTGCATCTGGCTTGCAAAGAGGAAGTTGTGTCATTGGAAGCTGGGTGTAACCATCTTCAATAAGCCTGTGGGAAATCTTATTTGAAGGGGCCAAGGAACAGATTGGGGACACGTATCATATGTGATGTGGGCATTGTTTTAAGCTGGGAGAAGGTGCCGTTGAGTCTGAGTCACTTGGGAGGATATGATGTGGATGAGAAGGAGGAGCTATTTCATTGGAAAGCCTGGGGCCCCTCCAGCCTCCTCAAGAAGTCCACTGGTGTCCTGGCTGGTAGGCAGCTGGAGAGCACATATTTGCAGGTGCAGACTATCAGCCTGATGAGCCCTCAAAACGACCCATTTGAATCTTGACCAGGCTGAAGCCAAAAGAAGGGCAGGCATATAGTTCAAGTGTCATGGTGACTTAGTGGTCAGACCTCTAAAATGTTGAGAACAGTGGGAATGAGTATGTGTAGCCTCATTTAAGGAATTCTGGATTCACCTATATTCAGCTGAGGTCCTTTGAAACAGCCAGCTTTCCCAGAGCTATGAGCTTGGTTTGAAACAGTGGTTTTTGGTGTTCTTCTTAGAAGCAGTGTGGCAGTGGTGTGGGGATAAGAAGGTTTGGGGGACCTTGGTCATGCGGCATGGCTAAGTCCCTTGGTGCCCCACTTGCATGGCCATATTGGGAAAATGGGAGGCGCCAGAAGGGGCCATACTGTCAGTCACTGGTGGAGGGAGGGGGTTCAGGAGTGGGATATGCTTTTGGGCAGTCCCTTATCCTATCTGAGCCTGTAGCACCTTGGCAGTGCCTTTGGCCATAAGCCTCCCTGGTGAAGCAGGGCCAGATTCTGTACCAGTCCTTTGGTCCTGTGCTCCTATGGAAGGCCACACCCATCCCCGCAGTCTCTGCAGCCAGGGTTCAGCCTTGGCCTTTGCCATCTTCACTCCAAGGTGCCCCGGCCAGGGAGAGACCCTGCAGCTGCTCCTCTGTGCTGGTCAGCTCTACCTCATCACGCCCACTCTCTGAGCCCTCAAAGCAGCCAGAGTCACGTGGGATGTTCACCTTGGGTTCCGACACTGTATGCAACACGGGCTCCTGGCTGCTCTCAGCACCTTCTTCGGCCTCTTCACTGCCAGCTGCTGGGAATAAAGACAGAACAGAGGGACTGGGTCCTAAGATGATTGAGGGTGGAGGTGGGGGGTGGAGGGATAGCAGGGTGTTTTTAGAAGCCCTTGGGGCCTGGTCATGGACTGGGACCTCTGGGAAGTCTCCTGTAGGCAGTCAGCTCTTCTGACCTCCTCCACCACCTCTGCTTCTCTCCCCACTCCCTGCATAGAAAGTGGGAGTGTTCCCAGGCCCAAGAGCTCAAACAGATATCTCCAGCACTGAGCTGAAACCAGGCAACCTGGACTTGGACTCTGGGACAGCTTCATGCAAATGCCTTGCCTTCTCTGGCCTTAATATCCCCTCTGATCCAAAGCGGGATGGGCCTGATTACCCCTATGAACCCACCCCCCCCCCCAACAAATTCTCCTGGAAACACCAATTCAAGTGTGGAAAAGCGCCTTCCTACTGCAAAGGGGAGCTCTGGGGCAGAGCATGGTCAGAGTACAGGGTCTCAAACGCCAGTGAGAACCTATGCCCACCCCTAGCAATGGCACTCACTGTCATAGTCCAGCAGCAGCTCTGCAGCTGTGAGCAGCTTTGCCCGGTGCTATGGGTCCACGATGTTCAACTCATTGAGGTGTGTCTCCCGCAGTTCTTTGAAGTCTTCCAGTGTCTGGTAGCCATTGAGCAGCAGGGTCGATGTGTGCTCCTGGGGGCAGAGACGGGCCATCAGCAGTCTCCTTTTTAAGTCACCCTTGCCCGGAACCTTTCCCTTACACGTTGGCAGCTGCCCTCTTGGCCCCCATCCCAGTGACAAGCTTGCCTCCTTTACTCCCAGCCACTAATGCAAGTCCAAAACAAACCTCCAGGCCAATGCGCTCCAGCAGTTCATGCAGAGTCTTGGGCTTGGGCCTCTTGCCTTTGCTCTGTCGGCGGCTGGGGCGCACAGGCCCCACAGCCTCCTCAGGCAGCACGTCCACATAGATGAATTTGAAAGAGCCCAGCTTGCCGTTGAGAAGGCCCAGCCATGTGCCCACAGGCGGCTTTACTATGATCTGGATCACATCTCCTTTCTGGAGGGAAAAAGAGCAGAAGAGAAGGTAGAGGGGGCACTAGGCCTCTGCTGATCCTTTTCACACTTTGGCTCTAATTTGTTTTCTTTCTTTATGGCTGAAGCCTGCTAGGCTCTGGAGGGACCCAGATGCCAACTTTACCTGCAGTTTCAGTGAGTCGTGGTCATAAGGACTGGGAGTGAAGTCAGTGTGGACTCGAGCACGCCCACAGAAAGGCCCCATGTACGGGGGAGCAGGTGACTCCTCCATGAAGCTTCCAGAGCCTGGGCCAGGACTACAGAGTTCACTGCCTGCAGGAGATGGACAGGGAGGAAGCATATCTTTGTCCCAAGGCAGCTGGGATGGGCAGGGCCTCGTAGGGGCACTACAGAAAGCCCCCAAGGAAACACCCCGGTGACCGAAGCTGCACTCTTGCAGGAAGTGTAGAAGCGCTTCAGATCCACCCCCTCAGCAAATCTGGTGAAGCATAGCTTTCTACCTCCAGGGCTTCAGACGATGAAGAGGTGATAGCTGGAGAGTTGGCTTATAGAGACTAAAGAATGGGCCCAGTAGGGCCAACACCTTAGTGAACAGGTGAGGAATGGGAGGCCAGATAGGCCAAATGGCCCGCCTCCCCCACCACTTATACTTAGACACTCCAGGTCTCCTCATTCCCACTATATTGCTCCTTCCACACGGGAAGCCATAACTTGCAGATCCTTTAACTTTATTTTATAAGCCTTAACGTTTCGTAACAAGGTCTTAGGAAAATGCAGGCATACTCTTTGTACCTGAGAAGAGCAGGGTGACTGGCATTTTTAGTGGATTTCAGTGGGAGACAGAGAGAGGTGTCTGTAGAGCTAGAGAAAGGGTGACAAAAGTGGACTGAGCCTGAGAGGACTTCTTCAGGCAAGGCACCTCTGAACTTCTAAATGGTGCCATAGCTCAGTAAACAAAGATCTGAGGTCCAAGAAGCTGACTCTTCTGAACTGGAAGGTGGGATGCTTCAGATACTCAAGGGGCTGTAGCCTATAGGGTCCCTTGGGTGGCTAAGGACAGACTGGTTCAAGAGCACCATGAAGTTCTTCCTCTGTGTGGGCCTTTCCAGGCCTGAGACAGCAAGTGGCAGCCCCTGCAAAGCAGATCTGAGTTCAAAAGTGGGCCACTTGGAAAATGGCTTCACTTCCTTGAGCCTCAGTTTCCACATCAGCAAAGTGGGGATAACAGTACAGCCCTACCAGGTTGTGATGAAGATTTCCTGGGAAGTGGGTCAAGAAGGTTCCAGTAAGTAGAAGGCACAGAGTCATTTCTCTTTCAACCCTTTCCCAGAAAAGGCCCTGGCACTGCCCCAGTCTTGTCCTTTTCTCCAGATTTGGCAGTTGGCCACTCCCTTCCCCTACTCACCTGTGGATGTCTGGCGGCTGAGTGCTGGCAGTTCGCGCTCCTCTTGCTCAGAAAAGGCTAAGCCCATCTTCTCTGGTCCAGGGCTGTCCAGGCTGCAGTCTGGAGATGTTGGGGAGGCTGAACCCTCCTCCAGTGTGTCTCCCTATAGGAAGAGTGTTGGAATCCCTGAGAAGCCTTGCTGTGGTGATTCAGGCCAGTCCCCCGTGTAGGGAGACAGGAGCATGAGCTTGGTTCAGATCACAGTTTTGTTACCTGCAGGTTCAGTGACCACATTCAGAATCTTAGTCTCCTTTTTCTGTAAAAATGAAGATGGCAGGCCCAGTTCTCCTATGTCAAAGGAAGAGGCCCCCAGGGCACTGAGTGGACATACTTTGTCAGTTACCAGTGTTGGTGGATGTGAAGACGAGGCCAGGGTGACTAAACTTGGGCTTGAAGCAGTTGCTATGACTAAGCTTGGACCTGGGGCTGTTGCCATGACCCAGTCAGGCAGACAATTTCGTCTGAGAACAACTGCCCACATTCTTGTGTGCCAGGTTGGCCTGCCACTTCATTCCATCCTCACAGTAGCACTTGAAGTTAAGTGCTATGGTTGGCCTGAGTTTCAAGATAGATAACTTTGCCAAGGCCTGTGGGCAATTGACAGCCAACTTGCCTGGCTCCAGAGCTCCCTCCCATCTCAGCTCAGTGCATCTGAGCATGGGGTTGTTTAGCAGCTGCATCTCTTCAAGTAAAGGACTGGATGATTTGCCAGTTCCTATTTTGTGAATGTTTCCTATCAATGGTCAACATCTGGGTACCATTGCATGTCCCTGGATGAGCCGTCAGAAGAGATATCTAGGTTATTTCCATTATAGAGATCCTATACACACACATCAGCAACATGGGTCAGAATAACAGGTTGTGCTGGGATTAGGAGATGATGAATTTTGAAGATTTTTGGCATCACCTTTGTCCTGGCTAGTATTACGTCAACTTGACAGAATCTAAAATCGTCTGAGAGAGGGGACCTCAATTGGGAAAATGTCTCCATAGGATTGGGCTGTAGGGTAATTTCTTAATCGGTGATAGATGGGGGAATGGCCAAATCTACTGTGGGAGGTACCATTCCTGGGCTAGTGGTCCTGGGTTCTATAAAAATGCAAGACTGAGCAAGCCATGAGGAGCAAGCCAGTAAGCAGCACTATGTCATGGCCTCTGCATCAGCTTCTGCCGCCAGGTTCCTGCCCTGTTTGAGTTCCTGTCCTGACTTCCTTGAATGATGGACTGTGATGTGGAAGTCTAAGCCAAAATAAACCCTTTCCTTCCTAAGTTGCTTTGGTCATAGTGTTTCATTGCAGCAATAGTAACTAATCAGGACAGGACAACCTTTGTTTTTAACACAATGTATTTGATTTAAAGTGCTCTCTCTCTCTCTCTCTCTCTCTCTCTCTCTCTCTCTCTCTCGTGTGTGTGTTTGGTAGAGTTGGTGATCAAACCCAGGGCTTTGCGCACGCCGGGCAAATACTTGACCACTGACTTCTGTTAGTCTCTAGAAGTCGGTTTCTAATAATACTTCTATTTAACAACTGGCTTGTGAAATCCATGACAGTTAACCAACTACCCTCACAAGCTAGTTGAGCTGGCTCCAGTCTTCAGTATGTCTCCTGTAAGAGCCCCAAGCATAAGCAGCCCTCTGAGTGCTCTAAGTACGGGGGCTGTGCCTGTCCCCATAGCTCTCTGTATCACCTTCCTCCCGGGGCTGAAGGTAGCAACCTCTATTTTCTCTCCAGTCTCTGAGTTAATGAAGGTTCAACCAATCTATTTCTTTCTTTTTTGTACAGATCTATTTTATTTTTTAAATTAGGTGCATATGTATGGGTGGGGTGATATGGGGGGGTGGTATATGCATGTCAGGGCAAGTGCCTTCAGAGTCCAGAAGAGGGCACTGGATACTTTGGAGCTGGAACTATAGGTAGTTTTGAGTCACCCACCATGGTTGCTGGGAACCCGTCCTTTGTTCTCTGAGAGAGCAGTACAGGCTCTTAATTACTGTGCCATCTCTTCAGCCCCACAATCTATTTGCCTTTCTGATGGTTACAAAAGTGACACCATTCAGTGGGAAGCACACTTTAAATCTTGAATTTGGATCTTTGCCCAGGCTGGCACTATGTAGTGTGAGCCTCTCTGGTGATGCTGGGTAGCAATGGCACCATAGCTTTCCCCATCAGCCACGAAGCCGTGAGGGGAAGCAGATGGCTCTCTACATAGTGCTGTGCTGCTAAGCTTAGTGGTGGGCAGTGGGTTAGGTTATGTATTCTTGACTCATGGCATTTGGAATTTAGGGCTTATCAGGATGTACCACATGGTAAATAGAGGAGCAGCTATATTTTTCTATTTTCCTGGAATCAGGCCTTTTTAGTCAATCCCAGGGGCGTCTTGCAATCAGAGCTTTGCACTGAATACATATGGCTCAGGAGAGTTCCTCTTCCTTTCAGCTGCCATCACTCTATGCCTATCTTTACAGAAAGCATCTCTTGCCCAGACTTTCATCTTTTCTCAAACTCCATCCTTTCTTAGCCCCGCCTCCTGCTGCCCGTGACTGGTGTTAGTGCCCTGCCTCCTGCCACCACTTCCTTGTGATCATCCTGTTTGCACTGACTGAGCAGCACCTGCAGGTCTAAGTAGTGATTATCCATGTGTTCATGCTTGCTTCACTGCCAGAATGTCCTCCTTGGCCCTCCTTGGCCTCACCCCGCCCTTGGATTCCAGGCCTCACCATCTCCTCTGACAGGGCCTTCACCATCATCTTGCCCATCTTCCTATTCATGGTTCGGGAAATGACGGCCCTCCACTTCTTTCCCAACTTTTTGCCACTCTTCCCAGAATCCTCTGGGGTAAGAACACCTGAGTCATCTTCTGGAATCTGTGATGACAAAGGAAGAGGTACAGGGGCCATGGTAAAAGTGGCTTGGATCCAGGTCTTGGTATACAAAGAAGTCTTCAGGATGCTGAAGTGGGTGGCAGTGGTAGGCTTGAGAGCCCATCCCCCATCCCTTTTCTCATCAGGCCCAGTCCTGTTCTCAGACAAATTAATTTGTTATTAATTTGCTTTTTAATGTGTAACTAATACAAATAGAATGCTGGGGCCCAGAAGCTTGGTGCTGTGGAGAACTGGCCCTTCTGTGTTAAGGAAACTTTGTCCCAGTGACACTAATTCCCCCTATTTCCCCTCCACCCTGTCACCCCCACTCTCAATATACGCCAGGAATCTCAGAAACTCACATTATCATCCAGGTTAAATTCCTTCTCGCTCACAACAGGGGAGCTGGGCTTGGATTTGGCAAAATCCTTGAAGCTGCTAGAGCGCTGAAGTGAGAGCTGGAAGAAGCAGAAATGCTGTCTGTAATAATTGGTGCTAAAATGACCGCCCAAGGATAGATCTTGTCTCCCTTCTGGGCACATACACCCATGTCAGGGCTGGGCAGGACAACATAAACCTTGAGGTGAAGGGACAAGATGCATTGTTCTTCATTCTATTCCTGGCCACAGAACAAAGGACTTCTGGCCTCAGGCACCCCATATCTCAGTGCAACCCCGCTAAACCCTAATTCCCACCAGCACCCAATGTTTGGTTCAGCACTCTGTTATGGGAGAGTCAATGTACACCTCAGCATATATGAAAATGTCATAAGTGAAGCGGGAGGAAGTGCCTCCCAAAAGCATTTCTTTGGCCTCCTCACTCTGGTGTGCGCTGAGCCAGGTTGCTATCACAGTGACAGGGACAAACATATCCAAGCCTATAGCCTGGTGAACTGATGTGCCAGGAACAGAAAGACAATCCCCCAGATGCCTGGCATGACACTTTCTAGAAAAACCACAGCAGAGGCTTACAGAAGGTATCTATAGATTTGGCTCATAAACGATGGGAACTAATTCAGTTCCAGAAAGCCACCATTTTCTCTTGATTCATCTCAGCTTTTAACCTTGGCCACTGATGTGAGAAGCTGGCCGGTGCCAACCTTTGCCAGAGTTTGGCCTTCCAGGGAGGGGCAATTGTTTGTGTTGCTGAGACTATCTTTAGGAAGTGATATTTAACTGTATCCATGTGTACACGCAGAGCTATCGGCCTGAAAACAGGACCAGACAGGTAACAGGGATAGCTGTAGACGTAGAGAGTTGAGGCTAAGCCTATGTCATGATAAACAGACAAGATCAGAAGACACGCACAGGAACCAGGGTTCACAGATGGCCAGACAGATAGAGCGGGGATAGACTTCAGACACCCAAGATAAGGGCTTGAGGAACCAGTGCTCGAAACCCCCACTAAAGCCGAAGGTTTCACATCCTTCTTCCTACCAAATGGGGGCGTGTCCAGTGACAACCCCCCAGAGCAGGGGGCAATAGCCCTTGCCCCTCAAGCGCAATTTGTCCTGGCTCCCAGCAACTGCGCTGCAGCTGTCTGGTAGATTTTCTGGGTCTTGACCAAAGCTGAATCAACAACTGGGTTTCGGGGTCACGTATTCCTAGAGGTAGTTGACCAGAAACTAGGTCACCAGTCAGACCAAGCAGAAACGGGCTTCATCCGGGGCCACACAGGTGGGTGTCTGGAGCCCTGGTGGGTAAGTTTGCTTTGTGATACCTTAGAGGCCTGGAAAGAGGGGGCTGTGAGTAGGTCTACAGAGAGGGCCATCTGACCATGGGGTGATTTCCATGATTCCCATGCATCTCCTCCGTCCTCCGTCCTTAGCAACCCCCCCACTCTTCTTTCCCCTCTCTCCTCTCTTTTCCATCTATTTCCTTTTCTTGTATGGTAGGATGCAGCTGCCTGGATAACTTCCCCCTCTTATTGCATGGAAAAGAGGGAACAGAGAGGGGGTGGGCACCAGGCTGGCTTGGGCCCAAGGAGAGCAGGCTAGGTTGCTATTTATAGGCAGATGGGGCCTATTGTGGCCTTCCCTCTATAACTGTTTAACCTAGCCTCCAGAGGAGGCCGAGAGTCGCCCTGAAGCCCCAGGGACTGGTGAGGCTGGAAAGCAAGCCAGGGGGCAGAGGTGGGGTGGGAAAGTTGGCTTTGTTAAGGAAGAATAAGCTCATTGGTGGGCCTTCTCTAATCGCACCTCTTTCTTCCAGCCCTTTCCTGTTATTAATTAGCAGACTGGGAAGCTGGGAGGAGAGGCCTTGACTCCCAGGCGCCTGTGATGGCCCCTCTGTCTTAGCTTAAGCCCAAAGCAGGGGGAATAACTCAAAGGGGCTATGGAGATAATTCTAGGGCTTGAACCCAACTGGCCAGTCTTTAGTCCAGAAAAACAAACAGTATAAGCACATGTTCTTCAGGTGGTCAGCGGCAAGAGTCAGCTAAGGTGGTCATTTACCAGGCCTTCCTCCGTCCTCAGGGGCAGGCGCAAATATCCTGGCTGACTTTTGCTTACCCTGGAATGGCCCAAAGATAAGTTGAAATCTATGAGCTCATTTTTAAAAAAAAAAATTATCTGTCCTCCCGTTGGGATGAAGCCAGGCTGGGAATTGTGCAGGCAAGGAGGAAGTACCATGTACTGGTAGCCTCTTTTTCAAGTCTAAGGAGAGCATGTGTGGGTGTCTTGGAAACAGCTATACTTCAGGCATTGGGCGTTGCTAAGTTCAACTCTGGTATGACTCTGGTACGCGTGGCGTCAGATTTAACCTTTCAAACCTCAGTTTCTTCTTTTCTGCCACTGGCCAGCTGTGTAAGTTACTATTTTCTCTGTGCTGTCGTTTCCTCATTAGTACAATGAAGACAAAAGCCTCTACTGCACTGAGCTGTTGTCAAGATGAATAGAGTACCCATCCAGCAACTGGGAACATCTGGCACATCTGTCTCTTCTAGAATGCTGCAGGTTTATGTTTAGCCTTTTGTATGACCCATCTGCAAACTTTTTGTTTGTTTGTTTGTTTTGAGACAGGGTTTCTCTACGTAGCAGTGCTGACTGTCCTGGAACTCACTTTGTAGACCAGGTTGGCCTTGAACGCACAAAGATCTACCTACCTCTGCCTCCCAAGTGCTGGGATCAGTGGTGTGTGCCACCATGCTCAGCCTCATCTGCATCCTCTTAACCTGGACATTTTCCCACCTAACACACTCTCTGCTTCTAGCAACTGCCAGAAAGAACTCTTTAGATTTTGGTTTACCTAGACACAAGATAAATGTCCATCAACTGTAGAATGGGTTAATTCTGTCCGAGTCGTGCAAGAGGACAGTAACCAGCAATGCAGCTGTCTCAGCAATACTCTTTATTCCAAAAAATGTGAATAAATCTCACCAACACACAGTTGATGGAAGCTGGTTGACTTTCCCCAAAAGCATGGCACATAATTCTCCTCCACAAAGTTCAAATAGTGGAGGGACTCATCTACGCTATTGGAAGTCAGGAAAGTGGTTTTGGGGAAGAGGGTAGGTAGGGTTGTGAGAGAAACTTCTGGAATTTCAGAAATGGTGTATTTCTTGAGTTGAGTGCTGCCTACTTGGGGAAATCCACTTTATGGAAACTCACCATATCTGCATCATACTCAGATTTTAAAAAAAGTGGTTTCTACTCCAATTTCAAAGGCAGCACCCCTACAGAAATTCTCCTCTAATCACCCCTCATAGCTTCACACTACCCTAGATGGCTCACCTTCCCTGTATCTTCCCCAAATGGCCTGCCAAGCTACTTCAGTGATCTAGGCCCTAGCCTCTGCCTCTGTGTGTATGTGAAACCATCAAGGAAAGGTTATCCAGTACCCACATGCCCAATAGCCTGCCGGCTTCTTCCCATGCGTCAGCCTACTCCAGCATGACCAAGTTCATATTACATCCCCACCTCTCAGCAAAGGAAATGGAGACGCAGAGAATCATCTCTCCAAGCGGAGTCCCATGACTTATAGTGGAGACCCAAGAACAATGCACTCCTAAACCCAGGCCCTGGGACTTAACACTGGAAGGCCCCGTGTGTTACTGCATCTGTGCCACCCCATAGCCAGGACAGTCACTCCCATGCCAAGATAGAAATGGACCTAGCACAGGGCTGACTCTGGGTGCTGTTCGCCTGGAGCCACCAGGAGAGCAGGTGGGGGCAGTTGTGGAGGAATGGGCTCAGGCAGGAGATGGGATGTTCCTCCACTTGGACCTGGGAAGCGGCTGAATGAGAGTGAGAAGCTAGGAGTCATTCGAGGTGATGTGACGGTGGTTATGCTCATAACTGTTCTGGGAAGCAAAGCAGAAAAAGCCATGGAAGGTCCTTGTTAGCCATGCCCCTGAGGAGAGTGGGGAGACACAAGTTGAGTGTCATTTATCTGAAATACCTAGGACCAGTGCTTGTGTAGCCCTGGCTGGCCTCTAAGCTGCTACGTAGCAGAGGATGAGCAATATTCAAGGTAGAGGATGATGCCTTTACCTCTTCAATCAATATTCACTACTGATTACATCTGTGGCTACCATATTCAGTTTATGTGGTGCCGAGGATTGAACCGAGAGCTTCCTGAGTGTCAGATAAGCACTCTAGTGACTGAGCTACATCGTTAGCCCCTCCAGTATTAAAAATTATAACATTTTCATATATAGGATGAGGTATTTTGACAGTGGGACATCTAAACATGGATTTCACACACACACACACACACACACATATATATATATATATATTTGAAGGAAATTTTATATAACACTTACAGTGTGCCTGTGTTGTGACTGTGACCTGTTAGGTCAGGTGTGGAATGTTCTACTTGTGCATGACCTTCAAAATCTTTCAGAGTTTGGGGCATTTCAGATTTTCATGATAAGGCTGCTCAACCTGTAGTGAGACTTCAAAGCATGTGTTGTTGTGGTGTCCTTCTAGAAGTGTGACATGGGGAACAGTGTTCCGGTAGTGGGGAAGATATGAGAAGAACGAGACTGAAAGGAGGCAACAGCCTAGTACTCGGACATGAGCCTAGGTCCCTTTCCATTTCCCCTGGAGGGAGACTAGAAAATAGGGGTTCATTGGAGAAGTGCTGTCTTTAGGGGAGACAAATCCAGAACAAAACCCTCTCTATTTCTTAGACCTTGACACTGACATTTGATGGAAGATACTAGCAAAGGAAATATAGTGCGAACCTGAAGATTGTGTGGGTGTCCACAGGGCAGCTAAGGGCCAACCCTTCCCATTATGGAGAATCCTCCATTCTTTATGAACCATAACAGGCACATTGTTCTGAACCTCCTGTCCCCAAGGCCTAGCTCCTCCTCTGTTCTCTGGGCTTATCTCTTAGTCCCCAGTTATCTGGGTATCCCCAACAGAAAGCTTTCACAACAATTATTCCAGTGATCTTGAGATCAGACTTCACCTTTTCTTCCAGAGGTGGAGAACCTGAGGCCCTCCAGAAGTCAAAGACCTGTCCAGGGTCCTAAGGCAGAAGGCAGGATTCCAACTCCACTTTCTTGCCCCTCCCCCCAGCCCGTTCTCATTGGCAGAAGGAGATGGGACCTGTGGGAGAAGCTGCTTTTGTCTTTGTTCATTCTCTTCCATCCTAGTTGCCAAAGGGAAGGGACTTGACTTCAGTCATCTGACTATCAAAGATGGAACTGGCTGTCTCTTGGCCTGGGAAGATGCCACATCTTCTGGAAGTTTGGTTGTGCTAAGGGCACTTTTATACTATGGGGTTTGGGTGTGGAGAGGCAAGCTTATTTTGGCTCCCGGAGGCTGGTATAGGCTCTGACAGAAGTAAGGTGCAATTTGCATGACTACTCTTCCCCAAAGGATGTGAACTGAAGATTTTTCTAGAAAAGGCCTGGAGGAATTCCCAGAGGCCCATCTGCCAAACACAGTATGTGGGTAATTGGAGCCAAGAGAGAGGAAAGGGATTTCTTGTTCTGTGTGCCTCCAGGCACCTCTGCCTGAGGTAGATTAGGGTCCCAGTGTCACAGTGTGAGCCCTTTCTTAGACTCTTTCGTCCAGCTTTATTCTCCTGTGGTTTGGGGCCTACCAGTGTCTACACAGCAGTCTCTGTTTCCCTCATGAGCTAGAGAGCAAGGGGAAGTGGCTTGGCCCTGAGGAGTGGCAGCCAATGGCAGGCCTTTAGGGCCTAGTTTAGGCGGGGAGGGGGGCTGGGGGTTGACAGGGCCCTGTGTGAAGATTCACAAATCTCCCCCTCCTCCACCTACTACCACTGCAACCTTTGCGAAGCAGCTGAGGTGGCGAGGAGTACAGTCGAAAGTGGCAGCCACCCATATCCTCAGAGATGGGACAGGATGCACACCCTGGTGCTCTGAACCTGTTTCTTAGCTGTCTCCCTCTGCCTGGGAACTGACGAGGGGGCTCCTCCATAGTGTACCTGAGTTGAATCCCAGGGGAAGCTGGTAGGGAACAGTGAGAGTCCTGGGGCCCCTAACTATGGCCTGAGTGCTTGGATCTAGACCTGCTTTAGAACGTTCCCGGGCTCTCGTTGGACACGTAGGCCAGATTGGATGGTTGCCTGAGAGAATCCTACCATCAAATTCACTCTATACACACAACCAAAGTATAACAGAGTCTTCGAGAATCCTTCAGTCTAGCTCCTGTCACAGGAAGACGAACACCTCAGCCATCCATGACAGCTGCTGCCTTCCTTCCTGGCCTTTGAAATCTCCCTCCCCTGGCAGCATTTTCCTCCTCAGCTCTCACACCTACTCACCGTGTCGTCAGCTCCAGTTCGCATTTTTCAGATGTTCTCCCTGCCCAGGAAGAACCCGTATAACCCTCCCGAATCCCACTGTGTTTTGGTGGGCCCTACTCCGGAGTCTGAAAAGCACCCATTGTCTCATCCCTACTGACCTGGGGAGCTGTAGTTGGTATGCGCCTAGTGGGCAGGGGTATGGCTTCTGCCAAAAAGTAGGGAGCCTGGACCACCTTGGCTGGGTAGGCCAGTGGGGCCCTTTGAATGAGAAGGCTCCCACGAGGACAACACACTTGAACAGAAGTGACACAGAACAAGGGTAGAGGAGACAGAACCAAGTACGCTCTTGGGACTCAACTTGGGCACTGTATTTTGTAATTCTCAAACTGAAGTCTGTGGTTCTAGCCCTTAAGTCATTTAACCTCCTTATTTATTGTAGGGTTGTAGTCTATAACTTTAGACTTCTAAAAGTTCAGTTCGTAGCACTCTATGCCAGAGTTTAAAAAGTGTCTTCCGTACTTTTACTACTCTAGTGACCGTTGAGCCCATCCCTTTGCTTTCTAGGGGAATGGTCCTCGCCTACAAGCTCAATACATAGTCTTGGTTCAACCCCCCCCCCCCCCGCAAGAGTTTAGGAGGGGATTGGTGGAGAGTGTGGAGGAGGGCAGGAAGGAGTGAGTGCTCAAAAATGCTCCTCACCTTTTTCTTCTGAGTGGGCTCCTTGTCACTGGCGTTGGAAGGTTTGCGACGCAACATGGTCCTCTACTGGGATGACGCCCCTGCTCTGTTCTCCAAGATGCTGAGATGCAAAGGTCTCTTGCTCAGCCTCGCCAGCACTGGTCGGGTGGCACGGCATAGACTGAGCCTCCGGCTGCCACTTTTACTGCTACAATGGCAGCTTGTGGGTGCGGGCCATGGACACCCAGCAGCAGTAGGAGCAGTAGCAGCAGCAGCATACAGGAAACCTTGCCACGTGACCTGCTCTTACAGCAATCATGGCCCCCGCTGGCCTCTAGGGAGGAAGGAAGTCCCAGCTTCAGTCTCCAGAGATTCTGATGCAGACAGATCTTGAGTTGAACAGTCAGAGAAAAGCCCAAATCCTGTTGTCTCATGCCACTCAGCAGCAGTTTTTTTTTCCTCTCTGGATGATTGGGACTCTGGCCTCACTGACTAAACTTCGGATATCAGAAGGTGAACAATCTCTCTGCCTGTTGAGCAAATGCCCCCAGTCAATTTGCAAATTCCAAGTTATTACTGCTATACAGTTACCATTATGATCACCCCTAGGACCTCTATCTCTATGGCCATCACTACTGCTACCACTACCAGATAGTCACTGCCCCTACAACCATGACTTCTACAACTGTCATCCCTCCTGCCATCCTCACTGCTCTGAGCACCCCTTAGCCATGATCTTAGCTGCCATCTCCTCCAACATTTCCACCGTTTCTATCATTCTTATTGGTGTCATCCTTGCAAACATGGCCTTCATGATGCTCTTGGTACCACAACCTTCAATACCCCTGCATCCACAACTCCTCCAGCCATCATCCCAGAAACAACCCACATTCCCATCATCAGCACACATCTGGCTCTCATTCTAGATGAGGCGTTCCTACACTCAGCACCCCTCAGCTGTCACACAAACTCAGATCTCAAGAACAGCTGAGAAACATCTTTTCAGGCGATGCCGTGTCAAGAACAGGTGCCCCAGCTGGGCGATGGTGGCACATGCCTTTAATCCCAGCACTCGGGAGGCAGAGGCAGGAGGATCTCTGTGAGTTCGAGACCAGCCTGGTCTACAGAGCTAGTTCCAGGACAGGCTCCAAAGCCACAGAGAAACCCTGTCTCGAAAAAACAAAACAACAACAATAAAAAAAAGAACAGGTGCCCCATTCAAAAGGCATTTATCAGATGCCTGTGCACCACAGCCATCTTGTGACTTATGTGCAGCAGACGATAATGATGACAATGACAATGCTGATGTGCTGTGCTTAGGACCTAACCCATGACTTACGTACGTCAGGTAAGTGTGCTACCCTTGAGCAATCGCGGGAGATGTTTACATACTTTCCATGACTCCTGCTTACTACAAAGCAACTGGTATGCATCATATACACTTTGGCAAATACAGATAAACAATAAAAAGAAACTTCAAAAGTCTCCGTAATCAGCTTGCACACGGTTTAGAGAAATATCCTTTACTGTCTTCAGCATCTAGCACCTCTGTTTAAATGTAAGTTTACTTCTTGCAAAAATCATACCGTATAGGAGGCAGATCATTGGTTTGGGGAGACTTGGAGAGTTGAGAGGGACAGATCACTAAGGACACATAGAACTTTTTGGAGGTGATGAATTTGTATGCTAATTTGATTGTAGTAATAGTTTTATGATTGTATGTTAAAGCTTATCAAACTTTATGTTTTAAAAGTTTACAGTTTACTGAAGTTCAATTATACCTCAGTAAAGCTAATTTTAAATGAAAAAACCACATTTCACAAACCGTTTGCATTTGCTTTCCATGTGGAATATAGTTATATTTTCTCATGCACAGGGTCTTGCTTTCTATCCCAGGCTGGCTTGTGACTTGTGATCCTCATGCCTCAGCTTCCTGGGTGCACCACCGTGACTGGCTGAAATATTCTGGAACTATGTGATTATGTGTGTGCATGCGTGTGCACATGTGCACACTCAAGAAGCGTGCGTACCTGTGTGTTCACATGCAGAGGTTAGAAGTCAATGCTGAATGTCTTCTTCTATTGCTCTCTACCGTAAGTTTTGAGAAAGGGTCTCTCATTGAACTTGGAGCTCATGGTTTTCAGCTAGACTGGCTGGCTAGTGAACTTCCGGGATCCCCGGGTCTCTGCCTTCTCCATCCATTGCTGGAGTTGCAGATGCATGTCACTTCACCCAGATTTTATGTGGGTGCTAGGGATCCAAACTCAAGTACAAGCAATTTCCCCAAAGATCTATCCCCCAGCTAGAATTACATGTTTTTTTTTAAGGGCTGCTTATCATTTAGTGTGAACCCACAATAATTATCTTGTCTTGGTTGATTAAAAAACACACACACAGGACTTATTGAAAGTTCTTAAGGTCAAATTTTGTCACATCTCTAAGTTTATTATTAGGTTAAATGTCCAGAAAGTTTGGGATTGCTGGGGTAAGAGATATGCGTAACTCAAAGACAGATTTTTTTTCTTAGAATCAAATAATTCCTCAGAGAAGGTAGAAGAAAACAAGTAAAAAATAACCCCTCGAAGCCGGGCAGTGGTGGCGCACGCCTTTAATTCCAGCACTTGGGAGGCAGAGGCAGGCAGATCTTTGTGAGTTCGAGGCCAGCCTGGTCTACGAGAGCTAGTTCCAGGACAGACTCCAAAGCTACAGAGAAATCCTGTCTCAAAAATCCCAAAAATAAAATAAGAAATTAAAAAAGAAATAATATCTCGAAGTAATGCAAAACTGAATATTCCTCTTCAGTGAGGAGGAGTCTTTGTTACCTGATTTATGCCCTGCCTTCAACTTCTAGTTCCTAACCTCATGGGCTCTCTTAAAGACTTGAAGGACACACCTTTGCAAGGCTTTCAAGTCTGTGGAACTTGTGAAATCTTCAGCTGGCCTGTGCCAGCTCCCAAGACGTTCTTGTGACTTCCTCCCTGGACCCTACGGCCTTCAGCTCATTCATCTGTGAACTCAGAAGGACAAAGTCCATCTCTCTCCAGATAAAACCGTGTTTCCTCTGGCGCTAGTCCAGCCGAACTGCTAAGCTGACTCATGAAAAGATTCTGCGTCTTCATTCCTTTTCTTTTTATTGGCTTGTGTTTTTTTTTTCAGTCGGAACGTCTTTCCCTGGCTGCCTATGGGCACCAAGTGTTAACTGGCTTGAGCTTTGCAGTGTGTTTAGGTACCTGAAAGCTAGGAAGGGGACAGACATAGTCAGTCTGTTGGGGTTCAGTGTGATCCTAGACGGGAGACCATTCTGTTCAGGGTCTGGAATAGGGAGGGACTGAGGCTACTTTGTCCAGGGACACCTAAAGCTTACAAGACCAGGAGCCTCGAAGGTGGGAACAGCTCACTGAACCTTCTGGGCCTATGTAGCGTCCCTGGCCGGTGCTCAGGATGTGCCCACTTCCTGTTTGCCCAGCCCCAGCAACGAGCAGAGCTCACACACTAACCGCAGAACCTTCAAAGGCTGCCAGTGAACTCGGGTGGGCGGGTGGGCGAAGGACTGCTGAGGCCTGGGAAAGGGCTGGGGGTGAAGTGGGAAGTGAGGTCATTCAGGACAGAATACAGAGAGGTGACAGACCCCAGACGGGCAGAGCAAGTGTTCTCAGCACCTTCCCTTCTCTTCTTTCAGATTTGCATAAGACCCAGTCCCCAGCCTGTGTTCTGGGGGTTCGGGGTCTCCCTCATGTAGGCTTCCCTTCCTCTGGCCTTTCTTTTGGCAGGTGACCCTGGCCAGAGTCCCAGTGGGCCAAGCTCCAGGAAGCTAATGGGTCCTAAATGCTTGTTTAATAGGCTACTGCACCGTATTTGCCTTTTATGGGTCCCATTCCAGGTACACAGAGTCCTCAGCTAAAGTAGTGACCTGGGGAGAAATAGTTCCATGAACAAGGCCACTTGAAACTTGAAAATGGGCTGACACGTGGGACCCAGGAGTTTGCTGGGGCCACAGCTTAGTGCTAGGCACTTGGTGGAGGTACAAGATAAACAGATGTCAAAGTCCCTTGCACTGGAGGGCTGCCATCCTAGGTGGAGCGGCAGGCACTCATTTGCCCTGTGCTTGTTCTTTGCCCACTATGTCATTAGATAGTCACAAATGTTCTTTAGTCCCACTACAACTCTCCAGAGAAGCAAGGGGCGTAGTGCAGGCTGGAAAAGATTATTGTGGAGGTGTGGCCTAGAAGAAAGTAGAAATAACCAGGTAAGGATTAGCACACAATTGGGGTGTGTGTGTGTGTGTGTGTGTGTGTGTGTTGTTTGGGGGGTTATACTACTTATAGCAAGATGAGTATGAACTGTCAGATGGTAGATGTAGGGGTGTCAAAGACCTCAGGCCCTTGTTGACTGTCCACACAGAGCAGGCCCCCACCAACACACCCAGCGGAGATTCTCTTTTGGTGGTGATATGATCATAGGCGGGATAGATAAGGCAGCTGGGCTCCGGATGCAGATGTGTGGCATTCCATCCCTTCTGCCCCTGAATGGGTGCATCCCTGCTTTGAGATACCAAGAGTGTGGATACTGAAGGAATACCTCCATTTCCCCCCGAAGATTCTTATCTCATGTCCTACCGTCAACCTTCCCTACACTCCAGGTGCAAACCTGTTGGCTTTGCAATACCCCTGCAACCCAGGCACCGTGGTCAGCCCCATAGTCCAGGAAGTCAAGCCAGAGGGGTTAAGGGACTTGTTCAAGCCTGCACAGCTAGTTTTGGTGGGAGCTGAGTTCTAAGCATGGGGCATGTCTTGGCTTGGGGCAACACGATTAAGCATTTGGTGGAGGTGTTTCTAATACAGAATGTTTTCAAGGGGAGAGGAGAGTATCATGGAACCTTTCGGCATGCTTTTGCTCTGGGCTGGGACAACGCTGGGCTGGGTACAGGACTAGATGCCACAGGGCCACCTTGAAGCAGGCCAGATGGGCGGGGACAGGATAAAGAAGGCATCGGAAGTCCCATCAGGTGGACGAGGGCAGGTTAAGTGGAAATGGGTAGGGGGGGGGCTCTCATCGTACCAAGGAGTACACATCTGTCA